GAATCGCTTTATTCTTTTTAAGCAACTTTGTAACTAGCGCCAATCCCAAGCAAACACATTCCTTTCAGAAAAATGTCTCTGTGAACAAACAGATACTAACGCAAATTCGATCATAGCGACTTTCAAAGAGAGAGCTAGAATAGAGAAGCAAACAACAAATGTTTCGCTGTGAATGCAAATGATCGAAACATCCCAACAGTTCTACTGAATATGTTTTGATCATTTGTGTCTCGTCTTGTTATATATTTGCTTTTTATTAATTCTAGGTACCCGTGTTCATACCCAAGCCATGTCGTAGTAAGTAACTCGTTTTTCTGCCCTCTTCTCTTACACTTCTAACTCGTTAGCGACTTTCTAATCCTAGGGGACACCATGTACGTGTGCTAGAATTTAAAATTAAATCAAATTTCAATCTTTTTTAATTTTATTTTTTAGCTTTTTAAGTTTTGACGCAGTAAAATCTAACGCATTCGAGCGCGATAATCACCCAATGCATTTTAACGCTTGTATTTCTGATGTACCAAAACGCACTCCTTCTCAACGCGTTTTTCTATTTGTAATAGGTATGCGTTTAAACGCGATAAAAGTAAAAGCGTTAAACAAGAAAATTTTTACACCAATTGATCCGTCAATAGGTGGTCATTCTTAGCGCGTTTCAGCGCATGACTAGTTGAATCAAAGAAACGCGTTAGAAGACAACGCGATTTGATGCATCAATTAGTGCAAGAATTACCTCGCTTAATGCGTTAAAAATTAACGCACATTAACGCGTTTTTTTACCCAAAAATTTCACCTGGGTTGTTGGGTGCAGGTGTGCACCAGCGGCATTGGTCGATGGCAAACCTTGCGCCTTAAAAAAACGCAAAATAAGTCTCGATTCTGTTAAATGGTTTTTTCTTAAAAACCCTTTGAGCGTTAAATAATGTGTTAATATAGGTTAGCGGCGACGGCGGATCCAATGAACATGTGTGCGGACATGTACGACACGTGCCTGCACTTATGTCTGCGCTTGTGTAATACAAGTGCAAAAAAGCCATTTTTTTTGCAATGGGGCTTCTGGAAAACTCGCTCAAAACCTATCCTATCGACACAAAAACTATGCCATTAGAAAGTAGACACTGTGGGCTAGCCAACCATGTGCTTTTGTCAAAGTCGGTATTTTTGACGAAAATCAGCATTTCTGACCAGGGTGGAGGGGGAGGGGCTTAAAGGAACATTTGCTTATTAATGTTGTATATGAAAACGATGAACCAAATGAAGTGACACACGTTTTACGATATGCATCACCAAATCTCTCAAAATATCCATCAAAATTATTTCCATGGTCGCTCAATCTTATTAATCCATCAGACAGAATACACATAATCGAAATATTAGATAAAATTCAACAAATGTTCGTTAAAAATAAATAATAAAAATAAAAAAAACACAACAGTCTAAATGTGATCTAGAAAACTGTTTCTTTTTCTAGATTTTTTGGTCGATACAGTTTGTTTTTCTATACTCGAACTCTCAGGAGAAATCTGAATTCCGGCCCAACCACTGATTTTCAAGATCTGGCTTAGATCTCATTTTGAAAAGAACACTTCTTTGTATCTAGTGATGAAAAATTATGGTTATATTGTTAAGCATCAATTATTTATCGCTATCAAAAATCAAGGTGATCGCGATGAATATGAACAACAATTGGAACATAATACTCTTTTACTGAACAACATTATCAATCGATCTACGAACATCAACAATTCTACTCATTATGTTTGTTCTTCTATAAATCAACAAACAAATGAACGAAAGCTTAAGAAGGAAAAACATGACGTGTAAATTTATTGATGCACTAATCGGTTGATTGTACGTAGATCGATTGATAATATTGTTCAGTAAAAAAATATCATGTGCCAATGGGTGTTCATATTCGTCGTGTTCATCTTGATTTTTGACAGCGATAAATAACCGATGGTTAACAATATGAACATTCTTATAATCAACGGCTATGTGGAAGTATGTAAACCAAAATTAAACAATCTACCGTCAATATCAACAGCATCGTCTATAAATATTATAGGATTTGTTAATCGTCCTCTATGATCGTTTGATTTGCTCGTTGTTCCATATTTTTTTTCACACTCACTAATAGGAATTGATTCGATCAACGGTAAAAAGCCTGAGAATTTATTATTGAGAAAACGATTCATGAATTGTGCTGGAAGATTACGGCTAACTGATCAATACAGACTGTCTACTGACACTCCATCGACTGATGGATTCAGTGGAGGACCGCGTTTTTCACCAACAAATGCGGGCGAATGGAACTTTATTGGAATATTGACCAGAGCAACAAAAATATGGAATAAATGTGCATTATTACAACAATCAACAGCATTCAATTATTATTATGATTTTATCGAAAATGAAGAAAAACAACAGCAACAACAATCAACAAGAAGAAGTTTAATCGACGTTTTTGTGTTTTTATAGTAATCAAATATCATTTGAACATTTTGTACATGTTAATAAACATGTTAATTGTACATCCTAAATAATCTCGCAAAACAAAATTGTCCGCTATTTCTCTTGTCTGTGTCTATTTTCAGTTTTATGCCAGTAATGCACATGAATGCAAAAGCAAATGTCTAGAAAATAATAATGTTGTTACGAATCACGAGCAGATAAACTTTTACAGAATGCTAAAAAAGGCAGAAGCCATACCGCCTGTGAGTTCAACGTGCATTTTTCAATTAAAAAAAGAAAGAAAGAGAAGAGACAGACACTTACTGATATTTGTTTAGAGATTCTAATCTGAAACAGGACGCTTTTGTTTACGCATTTATGTTTGTCTCCTGTTTGACGATTTTCGAGCGAGATTTGTTTTTTAGAAAAACAATAGACGCAACAGAATCCCCAAGGAAAACTGCTTCATTTTGTAGAACGATTTTAATATCTTTTCAACATAAAAACAAGAGATTAAGAGCACAACACTATGGGAAAACGCAAAAACTTCTTTCTCTCCTCACAACGGAACTCGCACGGAACCGACGTTTCAGATAAAAAAAAATTTTAAAACTTTTTCGGGGGNCCCCCCCCCCCCCCCCCCCCCCCCCCCCCCCCCCCCCCCCCCCCCCCCCCCCGAGAAAAAAAGACCTTCATAAATTTTCGTATCCCACATTTGTATCAGCACTTATTCTTGTATGTCACGTGCAACAAAATTTGAAGATCTATCAGCGCGCATTTTCTTTGATCTGTTCCAACATTTTCATGTCAAAGGAATATTCGATTCATTTCATAATCTAAACACTAGTCTGAATGGTATCCTAAGTGGTCCTTTGCAGTCACTGCGCAGTGTTTTCACTAATAAACGAGAAAACTTCCCGTTCATTTCTTGTCGAATTCTACCAAAATTTATCTCGAATAAAGACATTCAATTAATTTGACTCACCAACTGAAATATTCTTATTTTAATAAGAAATTGCTATTTAACAGACCACAGTGGGTATCCAGGTGGACATCAGGCGAAAAAATATTTTTTCAAAATAGCCTTTTTTGTTCGGAAAAGATTTTCTGTGGAATGGAAACCTATTTCTTTAACAGAAGAATTCAGTTTCGAATAAAACAAAGCAAAAAGTTTCCAGAACTCTTGATGCTTCAGAGATCTTCCAGAAAACCAAGCACCGAGTCATAATTGCTATCTAATACTTTATAATCAAAAACACTAATGAAGTCCACTGATATGCCGATGTTGATGGTTTTCGTTCTTCTAGATGACATACATGAGAACTTTTTCTACAGGTGTTATATTAGATCTCTGCGTCAGTTTTTCTGTAGGTTTCTTATGTAATATGGTTTTCTATACTATATATAGCTTTGTTTTTTTTATGTGAGGGAGTGTATGTTTAGACAAACTTCAGTTTAACAACGGGAATCACTTCATATGAATCAATTGTGTGACTGGTTAATAATTTTCCGCATATTGAATTAGTTGTCGTCGATGTTGTTTGTGTTCAGCGTGATATTTACTGATTGGCATTAATGCCATCAATTACTATAAATATTATTCTTGATAATAAATGTACGAGAAAATGTTTTAATGATTTAACATGTATTTGTCAAGATCGAAAAGATTTAGAGTCTTTACTAAAATAGCTACATTTGATACACATTTTCTATTTGATTGTCAATTGTACAAGCAAATGAACGGGGTTGGTGTGGGTTCGCCTTTACGTTCCCTATTTTCGTCAATATTTTTACAGGTGTATAATATATTTTCGCAGTTTTTTGCCTGAAATTTATCTAAAATGATTGCCATCTCTAACACATGCCGTAAATAATTTAGTGCATCTGAACTTCACTGATAGTTAATGTTTTAGTTAACATGTTTAATTCTTTTTGTTGTTATTCGAAAGATATCCATATACTCAAGGCTTTTTATATAGCGTCATTGTTGTTATTGTTGTTATTGTTATTGTTTTCTGGAAGAAATACAGCTGCTTCAGACGTAGAAAAGTAATCCTTGAGGTGACGAGAGATTAGATTTATAATTTGAAATTTGATATGAAAAAAGTTGAAAAGTCGTTGTAATGTAATTTGAGAAAAAACTTTTTATGAGAAGTAAAAATATCACATTAAATATATTGATATTCACAAATATTTAAAATATCTCAGGACTATACTGATACATATTTGTGAAAAGTTTTCAGATTCAAACAAAGGCAAAGTAAGAACAGACGCTTAGTAGCATATGAATCTTCATATATCACGATGTTATGCTGTGGTTATTTGGTTTTTTTTATTCTATAAAAATAACTTTCTTAAAAGAATTCATACATGAGAAACATCTTAAGCAATCTAACTGAAATTTTTGCTAAACCACGTTTAGTTTGATGAAGGGCTCAATAATTAAATTATAACCAGTAACTTATAATTTACATCTAAAAGAGTTGTTATTGTGTAATTTATTAAAAAAAGATTTTCAGAATTATATCTTTCCATAGACTGTTTCTATCATGGGTTCAACATTAGTGCTGACTGGACTGTTAGTGATCATTAGTTATTTAAAACAAATTCAAGCTAGTAAGTGGACATGATTTTACACTTGAAAACTGAACTTGAAGCAGAATATGGTTGAATTCAGTTCCATGTTCCCGAAACCCTTGTTTACTTGATGGAACGTATAATCCGTCTAACCAATATACATGTATTGATCTACCACCACATTATAACAATTCGGTTTGCACATGTGCTAGTGGAACATATGCGGTTAACGTGCCATGTCGTATGTATCTTTCTGTAGAAGTCATGATAGAAAAGGTAGATAAAAAATCTTGCATATATTCCAGGTACAACAACAACGAATTGTTTGAACGGTGGAATATTAAATGGTGGCATATGCATCTGTTTGAATGGCTATTCGGGTCCTACCTGTGCAACTCCTCCAACAACCACTACTTGTCTAAATGGCGGGATACTGGATCCATCTACTAGTACCTGTTTTTGTCTGAATGGCTATTCGGGTCCTACCTGTGCAACTCCTCCAACAACCATTACTTGTCTAAATGGCGGGATACCGGATCAATCTACTAATACCTGTTTTTGTCCGTCTGGTTTCACCGGTGCAAATTGTGGTACCTCTACAGGAACAACGACAAATCGTAAGTTATTTGAAACCTTGTAGAATGTAAACTTTTTCGCTTGTTGTGTAGCGGCTCTATTGTGTAATAATGTATTTTGTGCAAATGGTGGTGTGTGTAATATTGTTACAACAGCACAAGGTGTTTATCAAGCGCAGTGCCAGTGTTTACTAGGATTTGCTGGAGATAATTGTGAACTACAGGGTGAGTATACAATATATAATAGAAGTTTCTCTAACGAATAAATTTCAGACGATGAATTTTCAAGAGAAACGAGGCGGTGTAAACTTTTGAAACGTTTGTATATTTTTGGTTTTTCATAGGATATGCACAGCGTTGCAGTGCCAATCTTTGTCTCAATGGTGCCACTTGTTTTGAGAAAGCGATTGGTGCTACAGTTTATGCTTATTGTTCTTGTTTACCTGGTTTTTATAGACCAAATTGTGATACACGTAAGTTGATTCGAGTTCACTGATCTCTCAATTCGAATTCAGTTTTAATTTATAGGTTATTTTGCTTGTCCTTTTGTTGGTACGCATGCTGATACAAACTATTGTCGTCTCGAAAAATATTTTACCTGTACAAGTAACGGAGCAGGTTAGTAAAATACTTTATTTATTTATTTTTAATCCTATGTATGGTTACTCTATGCTATTATTATTTCTAGGCTTGACATTAACTCAAAGTGTGTGTCCAAAAGGTTCAAAATACAATCCAAATTTATCTCGATGTGATCCGAGTTATCAATGTTAATAAAACTATTTTCGTAGAAACTCTTGTCATATACTTTGTTTTGTGAATTTTTATAAAAACAAGAAACGAGACTCTTATTAATACACTATATTCAAGTAGAAAATTGTTACAAAAAATGCATTGAAGCAAAAGTTCCATCATGAATTAAGCCTAATAGAATGTCGATTTATTTAGATAGAAAAATATCTATATTGTGTTTTCAATTACAAAAATACATTTTTCAATTAAAAATAAAAAAACTAAATAACACATCAAGCAAATGTCGTTTGTTCGGGTGTTTGATGACCATGTGAATCACCATCATCATTTTTTTGATTAAGAATTTGTTTAAAATCCTATATAATAAAGAAGTCTTATCTTTCAAAAGAAATAGATAGACACAAATATAATATTACGTACGGGTGCTCGATATTTACAACAATTTGCTACCATATCTTCGATAATCGGATGATTTAATAATAAACCTAAACCAATTTTTGTCGACCGATTCGCATCCATTTCTTCCCATATCGAACATAATCGTTCCTTAAAAGAAATAAGTAAGAAATGATACGACACAATACAAATATAGATGTATAAGTACACTGACTTTAGAAGCAAAATCTTCAGGATCTTCTGTTGTAGCAAATCGATGAGTATCACCAAATTGTCTTTCACCATGATGGAGTACCTAAAATTTTAACATTTAATAACTGTATGCATATTTAATTATTATAGCACTAACTAAATGTAATCCATCAATGGATACGAGTGCATCATGTGGATGTTTTTCATTTTTATCTAACATTTTTTCATATTCAACTGTATTCAGTGTTAAACAATGCATATCTAATTGATATTGATCTGACTTTGGCATTGGTTTATTCATAGCTATGGATAATGCACGTAGAAAACCATGAAATGGATCGGGTACAGCAGCAAAATATAATAACATGTCCACATAAGATAATTGATCATTATTAGAAAATAATTGAAACCAAAATTGTTTCAAATGTTTTGAACGATCATATACTTTTGGTAATGATGGATCATCAGGTGTTCTTGGACGATCAATAGTAAACCAAAGTGGAACCTAAAAGATACAAAGCAGATGAATATGTTAACATTATAAAAAAATATATTCCAATTAACTCTACCTCACGAAAAATTTGTAAATTAATGTAACCAGAATTTTGAACATCTTTTTCTTTGTACAAATTTAATAGATTTAAAAGATCATTTTGTGTGGGATATGGCCACGGTTGAGATGCAAATAACAACCATAAACGCCAATTAATAAATTCCGAACCATTTGATAACATTGTAGCGAGAGATTCAATCTTCAATAAAAAAAAAACAATTAAAGTATATTCGCTATTATTAAAAGCTTAGAATCCTATATATACTTGTCTACCTGTGACTGATCCATATTTGTCCATAAATCTGGTAATGGTCTTTGTCCAACGGTAACGGCTATCAAATCAGAATACAAATCAATAAATGTTTTTATTGATATCAGACCGCTTGGTGCTGTCACGGAAAACTAAAACCGAAAACATTTAACAACTTCAAACATAATTTTAACATTGTCTATACCTGTTGATATAATTGTTTCAATTGTTCAATTGTAAATAATTCATTCGATGGTATTTCAATGGGTGCTGGTCTCGGAGGAGGAGCAGGCGCAGGCGCAACAATTACATCCTAGAATGATTTATTATTACTTATTAACTTCTTTTGAATGTCAAACATTATCTTACTTCAGCTATATAAAATTCATAACGATTTAATACAAGTTGTTGTTCAATTTTTTCTTTTGATTCAATTGCATAACGAATTATTTTAGCCATATTTTCAATACTAAAAAATAGAATATAAAATTCATTTTTCATTTCACTAATAATTATACGATTATTAACCTTTCTGTTTCATGTTTATATTTTTCTCCTAACCAATCGTACATTCTTGTATAGGTTTCATCTGCTTTTGATTTCAAATTTGTTATTGCTCTTGTTGCAACATCACGAATCAATAATAATCGTGTTTGACATATTTTTGCTATAAATTCATAAAAATAAGACTTTTTTTCAACATCTATTATATTATAAAGAAAACATATCTACCTTCATTCGCAACAGCAGCAAGAAATTCTTCTTTCATTTTTGCTTTCAATTCACGTTTTGCTTTTTGTTCAGGTGTTTCGTTGACAACTAAAAGCAAAAGGACAATCTTTTAAATTTATGATCAGTTTTTAGTTTTTTTACATTTAATCTAATTAAGCATAATATCTTTAACAACTTTGAGAATAATAAACATACCTTCAACGGGTTCTTCTTCGGGTTTCTTGCCTTTTTTGCCCTTGGCAGATCCTTTGCCACCAGCAGCTGCTTTCTTATCTTTTCCCTTAGCTTCTTTTCCACCCGCAGCTCCACCACCAGGTGCCGCTGAAACTGATAGATCAATATCAGCATTTGCTTGTTCAGTGTTATACTTAAAAGAAAATCATATGTTGTAATTATTGTCTATTAGTCATCACTCATTTTCTTACCATATCTGTCACATATTGATTTGCTAATTTATGAGCATCAAACACAAGTCTTTCATCAATATCCTCTGGTGGCTGAGGAGATGGTTCAGCATTAGCATCATCTGTACGACGTTTCATCTGTGAACGCTTCTTATCTGATTCAAATCCGGATAATGGACGACGTGGAACAAGTGGAAGCCTACATCAAATAATATTAGATAAGAAATATGAAAAATATTCTTTTCTCAACTACTTACTTTGGTTTTTGACTTTTTAGTTGATCTCCACCGCCTGTTGGTGATACTGGTGTTTCTGTACCCGTTAATTGTTTCCCTTTTTTCCCTTGACTTTTTGGTGATTTTGGTGATGGTGTTCGTTTTCCTTTTGCCGATGACACACGTTCACCTTTGCGTTGTTGTTTTGATGATGATGAAGCAGCATTTCCAGTTAGTGCTGTATCATCCACTTTAGACGGATCAAAATCGACGAGACTTTCAGCAACAGAATCAGGACGCTGATTAGAGTCCATGAGCTTAAATTAGAAGCAATGGAAAGTTTTTCAGAGAAATATTTTTTGTAATGTTTTACTTCAAACAACGGTAATCTTGCATATTCTTGTTTCATTTCGTCCGGTATTGGTTGTTGCATGGCTTTATAATAATCTCTTAACATTCTAACCGCATCTTGATATCGATCAATTTCACTCTGAAACAAAGTTAGATTCATTCTATCTTTATGGGAAGACAATATTTATATGGGATATTATATACCTGCATTAATGTAACATAATGATTTGTTAAAAGGCCAAGATGATCTTGTATCCATCCATCGGTCATTATAATTTCTCGTTCTTTTTCTGATTCTTCTTTTCGTTGTAAAGCAATTTCGTGTAGTGTATCACATAAATCTTCAACACGTTGATGTAATTCCATTTTAAATTCATCATCATCACGAGCGTCATCAGCAAGTGCATTAAATTCCTATTTATTTAACAAAAAATAACAATAATAAATGAAATAAACAGATGAGTTCTTTACGAGCTACGATTGTATTGTGAAATTTTTTTTTGTCGTCTCGATCACTCATTCTTACTTTGACAAATATATCAACGTATTCTTGTTTTGTGTCTGGCCTATTTAAAAATGTTGTATAATCGGTTTTTATTTGATAAAAATGATCGATGATGTAAGAACGTTCACTTCGAATATTTCGAAATACAACTTTACAGGAATCAACATAATTCAGTTCAACTGAATCATAATAATTTGACAAAATTGTAGCCAATTCCTTTGAAAAAGACAGAAAGAAAATGCTCTAGAACTAGAAGTTCATTAATGTTCTCATACATACAGAATCAATTGGCTCGTCTACGTATACCCATTCTTCCGAGCCTGGTTTCGGTGGTGGTGGACCAGAAGGTTCTACCGGAACAACAGGAGGTGTGGGCTCTTCGTCTAGAAATTTTAAATAACTCCAATGAACAACTACAGAAATTAAAGTTTTCTGATAGAAAGACTAAAATATACTGGCTTGTTTTAGTGCAAATGACAATGATAACTAAAAACACGCAAAGTAGAGCTCATTTTACAGAAGTGGATTACTATGTGATGTTTTCGATGATCTTTTACTATCTCGTGATCGTTTAAATGAATCTCAACTCCTGCTGTTTCGTAATGTCAATGATCCAACTTTCGATTTTTAGCCCCAACAACGATCCCAAACTAGTTGAAAGCTAGGGATGTTCAGTTTTCAGTTCTGGAACAGAAACCGTGGTAGTTGGTTCTTAGCTGAGAACTGGAAAATAATTTTTCAGGCAGTAATAATTCAACGAAATAGAATTCATTTTATAGTAAACGACAGGCAAATATATCTTTTTATAACTTTATCAATAGTTAAACATTTTGTTAAAAGAAAGGCAAATCAAAAAGTCTCGATCCTGAAAACAAGGAACCGTCTAAGAAATAGCGGTTTCGATTCCCGATGAAGAACTGAAAATAAGAGAACCGAATATCCCTACTGAAAACTGTTTTTTTACCTTTTTTGCCTTTTTTGCCTTTTGCACTGTCTTTTTTGGCACTCGATGGACCATCCTTCGATTTACTTTTCGATTTGTCTGTGCCTTTCTTCGAATCTTTTGTACCCGCAGCCGACTCTAAAACATAGCAAAGAATTAGTTGATGATCCGATCTAGAAAAAAAGCATGGTAAAGTAAAATTATGTATTATCGAAAAGAAAAAGCATAACCATCTTATATGCGCGTTTACTTTCTAGCAATAGATGTCTTTTTACTCAATTTCGATTCTAGGCAAGAAATCAAGAAAATACTAGGCATTCTCAGAATTGTGTCCAGTAAGTAATATCGATTGATTTTGTAATAAATAATAAAGCAAAAGAAGTTCGAAAAATATAATCAGTTTATGGTAAAAGTTAAGAAGACTATACAGAAGCATTTTTAACTAGACTTCGATTATGTAATTTACGCTTTTTACGACTTTTTCTTGATCCTATACTCAAAATATAAGACAAACATTTATATCGTTGAAGATTATTACAACTGTGGAACAAAATTTTACCTTGCTCTTGAGCTTGCGCAGCAGCGGCAGCTGCAGCTGCCTAAAAATAAAAGAATATATTGAAGTTAAATTACGTCTTTTAGAAATAATTGTGGTCGAATTATAAGTGTTAATCGGAAAGATAATTCAATTGTCATATTTTCAGATGTAGATTTATACTAGGATTCTAGAAAACTATACAATTTTGCATCTACTTACAGCGGCTGCAGCAGCTGCTGCTGCTTCTTCATCTGCTATTCGTTTTTGTTCTTCTTCTTCGGCTAATCGTTGTTTCTCATCTTCTAGAAATTGTGCGTGTTCTTCAGCTTTTCTCACTTTTTCTTTTTCATCATCAACATATTGATCAATTGAATGACATAGTTCATGATATATAGTCTCTTCGTCACTGGTCGCATCAATCATTTTTTTGGTGGAAAATTTTTCATAAAATTTTTCAACTTTTGGATAATTATCTTGAAATTGTGTTATTCTAAGAATAAGAATAAGACAGAAATAGATTTTTATTTGTTAAATGTCGTTATACCTGTGTTGTAATTGTTCCATATCATTTGATGGATCTTTAACGGAAAATACTTTTTCTTGTCCGTTGAAACCTGTAGCAGCGCCCTCTGGTGGTGGACGAAATTGTTCATGAAATTCTTTATCGGCTAGAGGAGCGACTAAGATAAAGCAAGACGAGTTTTTGAGCTACTTAAAACATCAATTCAAGTAGGAATTTACATGTTCTTCCTGCTGCTCGTTTAATAACCGTTTCATTATTGATATTAAATAGTACAACAAGATCTATGATTGATTTAAACGGCTCGGGAGGTGGAGGAGGCCGAGGATTTGGCGCTAATAATGGTTCAAATGTTGCCGGTTGTTCATCTTCATAGCCCGATAGTGCATTTTCAAGTAATTTCGCTTGATCATATGTGGCAGGAAAACCATCAATAATCCAACCCTCACCGTCGGCTAATCGTCTGCAAAAATATATAATTTTAAATATTCTATATTATCTTTTAACAATCGTATTACGAACCGTAATCTTTCTGTTATTAGTTGAACAGCCATTTGATCACTGAGAGCTTCGCCTAATTTCATCGATTGAGTAAGAATAGTTCCTAATTTGGCACGATCAGTCAACTAAAGTCAAAAGCTAATAACTAACTAAATCGAATTATACACTTTTATTTACCTTATCGGTCTGATTTGGTCTGGCTGATTTTGTTGTTCCAGATTCATGCATAGCAGGTACTGGAAGAGGTGGAGATCCGTCTAAAAAAAAGAAGAAAAATAGCACTGTCATTCTTTGTGTGAACTAATAAGCACAAATGATAAACAAAATAATATTAAATATTAGGCAAATGTTGGGTGCATATTGCAGCTTATATATCTATTCATTCTACCTCTTGCGAAAGATAAATTAAATTCCCAGGTCGACGAAAACTGGCATTTAATTGTCCATTAACAGCCTGTTAACTATATGCCAAAAAATAGCCTGTTAATTGTGTAAAAATCGAATGAAAATTGTCATTTAACAGCCATTATAATGACAATTTTTTGACTTTGCAATAACGGTGAAAATAATGCCAGATTATAGGCAATGTCTGAAAAATTGTCATTTTACGGACACCATTAAATGGCATTTTCGTCCATTTATTAGACTGCGTTAACTAATGCCAAATAAATGTGGCCGTTAAATGTTCGTTTTTTCTCCATTTCAAAATGGCAAAAAACTGGTCATAAAATGGCATTTAACAGCCAATTTATGGTCACCAAGTCATTCATCGTTTTATTCTGCCGTCATGAATAGTATAACTGACTCTGATTTTCCTAAAATAATTTCAAGTGTTTCTCCTCTTCAATTATACGAGTCATAGAAACTTGCCTCGAAGAAGTGGTCTATGATTCTTGACTCGATGCAGGTGATAGTACCTCAGGTTCAGAAGATATATTTTTGACATTTTCTAACGGTCTAACAATTGATATTTAAATGGCAAAAAAATGTGACCAGTAGGGTTACTGGCAGCAGTTAAATGCCTGTTATTTGACCGTTTTTTGACATTTAAAAAAATGCGAAATAAATGCACTTAAACGTTCCCAGTTATAATGGCAAAAAACGGGGTCAAATGTCATAAAAATGCCATTTAAATGCTTATTAACAGCGTATTAAATGGTATTTAATTGGCAATTAATTACACCGTTTTCGACGTCCTGGGTTGTTTATGCATTAAAGTAATTGAATATTTTTTCCTTTTTTATAACTCTTTTTTCTTATTTTACATTTCTCATTTAGAGATTTCTTATGAAAATGACTTTCTTTTTGTCCTTGATTATTATTCATCTGTCTATAATAATAGATATTCTGATCATCAAGATTCAATCTTTTATCTAAATATATCAAAAATATCATCAGGATTCGAATCCAATATGATCGTATCACTATATGATAACCTATCTGTCTAAAGAGGTAAATATTTAAGTATTAAACTAAGATGTTTTGATCATGTGAATCTTCTAAAAACTTGATTAATTGACAACGGTATTATATCTATATATTTACCTGTTTGATTTCCAGATGTGTTTTCATCTGGTTTTTTATCCTCATCCAGTATCACTGAAGATTCAGAGTCCGAATCTGCCTAAGGTACAATTAAATTTATTAAAAAAGTGTCTATAGAATATCAATTTGATTAATACTTCTCCTTCTCTCATTTCATTATTTTTAAAAGCATCAATCGCTTCATGAACAAGATTTTCCAAACTGATGATGACAATGGTATGTTCTAAAATTTTAAAATAATAAAATGACTTCATTATATGTAAATTCATTTAGTTTTAATATACCTTCACAATAACGTTTTAGAGCCGTTGTTTTACCAGAAAATGATTTGCCCAATACAATGATTTTCAGTCCATAAGCAGGAAATAATGGTGGCGGTAATTTTTCCTGTAAAATTTAGAAAAATCAGTAGTTTTGGACAAACACTCCGAAAAAAATATTATTCCTACTGGTGGTGGGTGAACAATGTGATGTAATCGATTAATAACAAAACCATAGATAGGGTTATCTACTGGTGGTGTTTCAAATGGAAATTGTTCACGTGTCGGTGGTTCCCACTCACCAATCATATTTCGATATTCGTTAAAATCACCTTCATCTAACAATTTTAAACTTTCTTCTTCTAATATTGTTTGTGCATGTAGTTTATTCGGTTTATCCTGTTGATCAGCACGATTTTCATCATCAAACAATGATTGTCCGGCAATAAACAAAGCATTCCATTCACGCCATAATTTTACAGGTATTAAACTTAAGAAAAGAACAGAAGTGAGTTATAAATGTTTAATCTTTTATTTATAATAAAACTTGTTAATAAATTATCACCTACTTCTCACATAATTGACGGTATTCACTAACTTTTAATGAAAAATCAACAAGTTGCCACGTAATTTCTGTGCATACTTGAAAATTTTCTTGATGTTGTGCTTCCGCTTTATCAGAAGCAATGATATCATGTAACTCTTTATCTTTTCGTACTTGCTCAGCATATTCTATTCGTGCTAATCGAGCCAGTTCCTGTGCAGAGATAAAGAATAGTCATCGTATAATGAACATTAAATCTTACTCAACTGCTTCTCTATCCATTGCTTCAATAAAGTCTAGTCGTCGACGTTGTTCTAATTCTTTTTCATGACCAATTCGATTTTGTCTCAATACATCTTTTTCATGTCGAGTTTGTAATAATTCGACTGCTAAACGCCGTTCAAATTGTGATTGACGCAATAAATGGCTAACTAACGATTCTTCTCGACGAGCATCCTGGATACAGACAGATAAACTACATCTATTATTTACAAAATTACTCTTTTACCTCAATGGATTCTAATGCTCTCAATTGATCCACAAGTACTTTTCGTCGCCGTTTTTCTCTTTCTCGTCTTGCGTGTATATCTTCTTGTAAACGTCGACGAATTTCCATTATGTATGGATCGATGCCCGATGTTGTTTTAGAATGTATGTATTCGGTGATATCTGTTGATGGTTTTGGTGCATTTTCTTGTTCATATGGTGCTGATACTTCAATATCAGCTAAATTAATTGATTCACTAAAAAAAATGAGGAGAAAATAGTTCGTATTGGGTTGAAAACTAATCAGCCCGACTGTTACATTCAGACAAATAGAATAGTTTTGTATTCGATTAATTTAAATATCGTATGTTAGAGCCGTACCTGTTGGTTTGTTCATCGAAACCCTCATCTTCAAAATCTGAATGTGTAAGTACACGTTTTTCAAATTTTTTGATATCATTCATTGTTTCCTATTTAAAAAAAAACTTTTTCAAACAAAAATGTTGATCAGAGACTATCAGCAGAGTTTTCGATTAGGGGGGGGAAGGAGGGGGAAATCCCTCCCCTCGTTTGAAATTCGGAGTAAGTGGTCTCCGAGTAAGTGATTTCGGAGTAAGTGATTTTGGAATAGGTGGAACTCGGAGTAAGCAATATTGAAGTAGATCAAAGGTCCAGAGTAAGTAGCACGGATTAAGTAATGTCCTGATAAAGTAAGCTAAAAGTATGTTAATAATGAGATAATGAACATGAATTTTGTCGTAATTAATAGCTTTAAAAGCCGTTTATGAAACGTGTTTATTATAGCTATGATATAAAAAAATCGAAAATACCTGTATTTAAGCTTCAATGGGCGTAAATCAAACTGGAAGTAAGTTCAGTGGGAGTAAGTCAAATTTTCATATTTCATACTTTGGAGTAAGTCCCTGAACTTCCCCCTCCTCAAAAAATTTGTAACGAAAACCCTGACTATCAGCGTTCATCCTACCTGCATTTCCACTTCTTTTCGTTGTCTTTTCTTTCTTTCTAAAGCCTGTTTTGTTAATAGTGGTGGTGTTTTGGGAATATCAATTGTATTTGCTCTAAAAAGTTTAGAAAGTTTAAGAAAATTGTTTTCTTTTGCAACAAACGATTTTTCATCGTCAGAAAGATAAATAAATAATACGTGGGCAGATAAAATGGCAGATAAATAGATGCATGCAGTAAAAGAGAAAGGATAGTCCACCTTCAAATAAGATAGTTTGACGAACGATATAGTATAATAATCATGCAATATAATTCTAAGAAACATGCACATGCATAATAGATAAGAAATATTGCCGTATTAACGAAAAAAACTTACACCATTGGTTCAATTTCAACATCATAGCCAAGATCTGGTGAACTACTTCAAACGTAAACATATCATAAAACAAATGACAGACGGAATAGTTGCAATACAATAGATTTTTTAAATTCGAACTCTACAGTAGTTAGAACAAAGAGCATAGCAAAATATTCTTCTGACTTTAAAGCAGTATACACCATTTCTTTTTTCTCTACCAACGTTTTACAGTTAACCCGAATATCAATCAAAAAAATGTCCATTTTAAATTTTAATAAAAATATCTTCTAAATTCTATCTTTTTATTCTTACCGTATTTTTGCCATCATCTCAACATCTTTAAGACGTTTTTCTTTCGAACGATCTAATAAATATTGTCTTTTCGATTCGATTTCTTGACGTTTCTCTTCTTCTTCTTCGTACCTTAAACAAAAACACATGCATATTTCAATAATAAAACAGCAGCAGTATTAAAGTGTATCCGGAATAGAGATCTGCACGGAAAAGATTTTTCTGCCCATACTCATCCGTGACTTTTTTCGGTTGCCCGTGTCTGTCCGTGCCGGACAGACTGTGGATAAAAGATCTGTACTGTGACCAAAAAATCGTGTTTTAACCACAGATATTTTCTTCTCTACTATCCTCTTGTATATCTCAACAAAAATTTTCTCGTCCGTAAACCATGGTCTTTCATTGGCACGTCTTTTACCACCTATGCTTCATTCTCAAACAATTTATATTTTGAATTTATTTTTTACACAAAAAGTTTTCAAAATCTGCACCTATCCGAGAGAACGATTGCCCATCCGTGCCCTTTTTGAGCCCTTCTCGTGGTTACGGGGATTCCTGTGCCAATGCAGATTTCTAATACAGAATCAAGCTATTATGTATTACATTATGGTTCTTATCCTAGTGCTAAAGCTACAACAACTCTAGTTTCTAATAACTTGAAAATAAAATAGTAGGTGAGAGAACTCAGAGTTCTGCTTTCCCTGTAAACCGAAGAATTTAAAGTATTTGTAGATTTTCTACACACTTTCGCTTGAATATGAGATCATCTTGCTTTTGTTTAAATTGTTCATGTTTTGCTATTAGTTGTAGGATATTTAAATCGCATTGACGCGGCGTTTTTTTCTTCATTAACTAGAATCACAAGAGAATAATGTTTATATCATTTTTCTTACATTGAAATAATTCGAATTGTTTTACATTTTGATAGGTGAGCGACTCAGCTTGAGCTAAAATTTTTGTGGCTGGTGCTGTCATTGTTTCCATAGCTGTTCCAGTTAAATTTCGCTTCTTTTTCCGATTTAATGCGGTATACAACTGATAGAGTAGTTGACTGGCTGCACCACGTTCTTGTGTCATTATATGGCGAGCTGTACCCGTATTAAATGGTATTTCTAATAAATGAAGTGTACGTTCCAAACGGGTAAAATTATTTAATTGAGCCGAAGAATTTCTACAAAAAGAAGTAGAAAAAAATCACAGATAAAACTGGAAAACGCATGAAATATTCTATGCAACTTACTTGCTTTGACTAAATAGAGAAAAATCATCTTGTAATCCGAATTTGTTAGCAACTTCACCAAATAAATAACCGTTAGCAAATTCGGCAGCCAAATTCATGGTAGACTCTAAACGTAACAATTTCCATTGAAAGTGCCGAAACTGAGTTGTAGAGAAATAAAACTAACCGATCTTTTTCGACAGTTGAACTTCATTGTTCAACCAGCCGATTAAAATTTCAGACATTTTTCACTATTTTCAATGCATACAGTAGCAAGTATCCAAATAGAGAATAGCCAGGTTTTGCAAAAGTTGAGCAGCAGTTTAATTTTGATACTCTATAGGTATAGAAACACCATAGTGATCTTTTTTGCCTACATACTGTCAAAGCAGTAGCCATTTCTCTCTTATATATTTTTCTGTTGCACAGCAACAGACACATTAAATTCTTACAATTTTTGTGGTATCTTTCTCCCCGTATGAATTTCATAAACGAAGGGAAACTACGTTGTAATTGCTTGTAGCTCTGTAACACCACCTCTTTAAAGAAAGTCATCCGGTTGTCTTGAAAACTACGTAGTATGTACATGCATGCTGAATTTTAGGAAGAGACACTATATGTTTAAAATTTTTAAAAGGTATTTGTATTACTAATGAATATTTAGTAGACTTTCCTTCGAGATAATCTAGGAGTTCACCAGCATGATGATAGTAATTCTAGTTAAAGATGCGACCCGTTCGTTACTCCCCTGATCTTTGTTACTCTGTACCAGAGATAATGGGAGTAACGGGTAACGGTCCCACCTCAAATTCTAGTCAAAATTTTGTGAGATACATCAACGCCAAAAATATATACTATCGTTTAAAATCTTCGAAATCAGATTGAGCACAAAACTTCATTTCTTATGCTTAGTTTTGTAAAGATGCACAGCGCCACCTTAATTAAGAACATGCAATAATCAATATCTTCTAGAAAATGTGTTGGGGGATATGTTACTCGATATACGTTGACAAAAACACACTGCCGACGGAAGAACGCGACATCTTTCATCGTTCTTCTCTAACGCTTATGATGTACCAATACAGAATACTATCCAACAGTCCTTCAATGTTTATCTTGGATTCTTATTCATTGCAAATTATTTAATTATTTACTTATTTGGGGCTAAAAGGAAATAAATAAACAGTTTTTTTGTGTTGGACGATAAAGGGAAACACTTAAAAATGACCAATTGATCTCATATCTATTTTTTTTCCTTGGTCTCTTGATTTCACAAATCTGTCGAAGAATGCAATTAAGGTTTTAATACCATATAGAGTTAAATATGTTGGCAGTCTGCTGTGAATGGTGTAATAATCCAACATCGGAAAAGAAGTGTCAAATACAATCGGGTTTTGAAACATGCACAAGACATAAATGTTGTGAAAATTGCCGATTATCAGGTCACGCATGCGAAACAAACTGTAAGTATCTTATTTTTTAAAATTAGGACAAAAGAAAGATAAAATAATTTAAATGGTATTTCATATAACTTTCAAAAAGTTTAGTTATTTGTCAATCATCTTTCCAGGTCCACGCTGTTGGTATGATTATTCAGATAATTATATTCATTCGCAATGCATCTGTTCAGCATGTTCATGTTCACTCGTCTCATCACCTAAAATTGACGATTGTGGTCATTATTTATGCGCAAATTGTAGCCAAGATAAATGTATTCTATGTTCATATAAAAATTCAACAACACGTTCATCAAATGATCAAAATTTTTTTACGATTCCATACAGACATCATGAACCAAACATTCAACATATTTTATATACCCTACAAAAGTATGTTCAAGTAATAGAAAAAAAATTTAGTGCCGAAAAAGAATCCAAATCAACTTGTATGATATGTATGGATGAGTTGGGACTTGACGTATTTTTAACACTGCCGTATTGTAGACACAAATTTCATAACAATTGTATTGAAAAATGGTTTCAACAAAAAAAAACATGTAAGTCAGCAACGCATATCACTCAATCTACATATGTTTTTTTCTATTTTTGCTTCATTTTAGGTCCTTGCTGTCGACATGTTTATCCTATTACAGAGCAAAGTATGAGTGTGTGTCACTTGTGACATTCGTTAATTTCATTGTGTATTGTTATTTTTTATGGTTTTTTCTTTCAGAATCATCTTGCACAACGTCTGGGCCAATTCGATCCTCCAGTCGAACTCGTCAAAATTTAACATACCATAATCGACGGTATTTACCATTCAATTAATGTGTGTCACAAACATTTTTCTCTATTCTATCTCTTCCAACTGAAACTCGCATTACTTTCCTTTTTTTCTTATCTGTGATACAAAACTAATATCAAGTTTCTTCCATTGTTTCTGTCTGTATGTGTGCATGTCTTTATTTCTGATTTAAATTTGTTCACCAATAATGCAAGAACCCCCTAGCATTAATTTCAAGATATGGCCTCATTTTTGCCAAAAATTTTGGCTCTTTGTTGTTCTTAGTACTTCTTGCACTGAATACATCTTTCTTTTTATTTTTTGTCGTACTCCGCGTATATTTGTACTAAATGGAATGTTTGGAAACAATTGCGTCTCTACATAAGATGCAAACGCTGAAGACGTATCTCATGTGCTTGTTCTTTTTTTGTTGCTGTTTTTAGACTTTTTTCGTTCTTAATATATCATTTAGTTTTTTTCTGGATAACATACCTAGCCTGGCAAAATCTGTTATGTTTTTTGAATGTTCAGAAAAACAACAGCAACTGACCGATCATTGCTGTTGTTGTTTGTTTTGCTGTTTGTTTTTTTTATACTGAAAAAATAGGATGAGAGTTGATAAGTGCTAAAAGCTTTAGCAATTGTTTTATCTATTTTATTACAATTGTATTCAGCCAACATATCATTTTTAATATTATTAGACACTTGATTCTGCAAAATCTGAACTTTCAATTGTTGTCGTATGAGGGGCTCTCGTCGAGAAAGATAACTTCATCATTTTTCGAAAGTGTACGCTGAAAGCTTTTGGTAAAATATAGCAAAGTATGTTGATCACCAGTGCTCTTCGAATCTCACAAGAATATTGTGCTTTTATGAAAAGACTTTCTGGAACACAGTATAACGTACACGTGAGTAGTAATAGAACTGCCACGGTCTCCACTTTAAGTTATTACTATGAGAAAAAATGTCTAGTTTTATATAAAACATGATGATTCATGTGTAGAATAAAATAGTAACAAGGTTTAAAAATATAGAAATTCGATTTTTTCGAAAATTTAATTTTAAAAAGTCATTTAGAACATTGATTTCTAGTGATACATTAGAGGGTGGGATCTGGAAAACTACTGTTGCAGGATCTAACATTTTCGATCGTTTGATCTTTGCATAATGTTCGTCACATTAAACTCTACTTTTTGTGCAAGTTTCAAAGATTTAATGGACGTTCTTACTGAGTTATGCTCATCTTATTCATAGGATGTTAGTTAGTGGATGATTGGAGAAATGCTTCTATTTTGCAATGACCGTGTTCAAGTAGTGTTGAAAAATTTTGCATAACCATGAAACACATTGAATTCTTCATTGCTTTTTGAGATTATCTCTACATGTTTACACCCGTCTTCGATAGAGGCGCCACGGATAGCCAAAGTCAGGAGATCTTTTGAAAATCCGAAGTAAATTTGGAAAGTTTTGGAAATTGATGAAGGCTTTTTAACTTTTCAAATCGGAGTAGATGCCTCAAAATCACTAAAACGTTTTCACAAAATCGGAATATAGAAAACTATAGCAGGAAGATGCTACACTTTTACGTACCATCTCGTTAGCGTACACTGTGGAAAAATGATGAAGTTAGCTTTCTCGACGAGAGCCCCTCATACGACAACAATTGAAAGTTCAGATTTTGCAGAATCAAGTGTCTAATAATATTAAAAATGATATGCTGACTGAATACAATTGTAATAAAATAGATAAAACAATTGCTAAAGCTTTTAACGTTTATTGGGGTTCATTCTTTCTAGGCCTTTCAATAAATGTCACACTTGCAAAATAAAATGTGCGTATTCTTATTATTCTGATTATTAATTTTCATGTCTCCTCTATACATCTGAACATTGTGTAAAAGCGCACTGCTAGTTGACATCAATAATAAAAACTTCAAAATGATTTTATTTCTATAATGCTAAGAAAACGTTACACAGATATAGTGCGTAGAATATGTGTTTAACTCGTTTGATTAAATGCTATATTCTTTACTTTAGATCGTTAACTGAAAAGATAAGTGATCGTCTATTATGTGATTGGTGTTCTTAAAGTTATTTACAAATAATGTGATTATCGTATTTGTTCATAATGCTCTACTATGGATCATTCATGCCAATTGATATGTTTCTCATATTTAAATCAAAATGCTCTATATTAATAAATAATTGTGATGTGTCTTGATCATCCTCAACTAAGTAATCTACATATTTGTCGATAACAACATCGCACATATACATAATACGTAAACTTACCATATTCATGTATTCTGTTATTTTAAAAATTTAAAAACAAAAGAAAATTTGGTGCCTCATTATATTGGATTCAGAAATACAACAATTATTTTATATTGTTGAAATTTGAAGCAAAAAAATTGAAAACTGTTGGTTTTAAAATATAGAAGATAGAGCATATCGCAGTTTTTACATATCACACAATTATCTTTCGTCTTTTGCCATTTCATTAATCTAGTATGAACTTAGAGAAAGATAAAATAAATTATCAGGGTAGACATATGGTGGAACACTTAGACAAATGCAGTAAGTAAAAATTAATCAATATTTCAACAAACAGTCTAAGGTAATTTATACTCTACCAGAGACCCAAACGGGTCAACCAAACGTGACCTGTACCCGACTCGACCCGAATCCGACCCGATCCGAACGTGAATTGACCCGAACACACCCGAAAATTTTGCAATTGCGATCCGAACTAGAACCGAAACATGAAAATGTTTTCGTACACATTCGCAAAGAAACACTTCTTTCCTATAGAAACGTTATCTTAGTCAGATTGTTTTGAAATGTTTTCAAAAAAATAGTCAGCTTCCTTACAGTTTCCGTCATTTTTTCCTTGAAAAGTTTGGAAAATTCAGGCAGTTTATTTTATATTGATCTGAGTTAGATCGAAACTCGATCCGAACCCGACCCGTTTCGGTCTCTGCACTCTACACCTCTAAATTGACTTTTTAGCCTCCTATCCTCAGATAAATTGATTTTCCATTCTGATGCAAACAATCATCAGTAAAATCTTTTTACAAAAAGAAAAATACAATAAAACTTTTTGTCGAAGTGTTCTGTACCGCTGCCATAATAAGAATAAAGTCAGAAAAGATTCCGGTGAAAATGCACAATGGATTCTATATACAAAAATTTGAATAAGATCAAAGGCGGCGTGAAGGGTGGTGAGATGAAAGCGAGAAGGACTACAAAGAAAGCCGGAATCTTTTGTGCGTTTTTTATACAAGTTTTTGTATACGGGTTTCCATCGGAATCTTTCAATAAAATAAATTAATTAATTATTTATAATTTAAATAAATAATAATTTGCTTTCTCGATAAATTACCAATTAACACTTATTTTTATCAGTTATAGTGATTTGCAGTGGCTAGAAAAAGTTTTCGTCCACCTTTACTTTTAATCTTCCTCATCAACCATAATACCTAGAACAAATTTGAAAAAATATTTGAACAGATGGAAGAATTTTCAATCTTGTGTGGTGTATATAAAAGTTTCATAGAAATTCCTGAAACCAGGTTCTATGGAAAACCAAAAATTTCACAAAAACATTTCCCCGAGTTCGACCGAGAAATTTTTTAGAAATTACTGTCATACAGAGCAAACATTTCTGAGCAAAATGAGACGTCTGTGAGCTCTCTACGACATTTTTTCGTGAAACAGCATTCAATTTACGAACGGTCTGATACCACCAAAATTAGCGGAAAAACATGAAAGATATGTCCTCAGGGCCTTTTGTAAATTGAATGCTGTTTCATGAAAAAATGTTGTAGAGAGCTCGGAGACGTCTCATTTTGCTCAGAAATGTTTTCTCCATACGGGAGAGTTATTTGTAAAAAATTTCTCGGTCTCATTCGGGCATATGTTTTTATGAGGTTTTGGTTTTCCATAGATCCTAGTTTCAGAAATTTCGATGAAACCTTTGTATACACCACATAAGATTGAAAATTCTTCCATCTGTTCATATTTGTTCTAGGTATTATGATTGAAGAAAGGTGGACGAATAAGTTTTCGAGTCACTGTATTTATGTTTCAAGTGTGACTTATTGTCTTCGTTGTTTCGATGATTTTAGCCTAGTCATTATTATTTTGTATGTTTTTGCATAATATGTTTTACACCTAGTGAAATGAAGTTGTAAAATACTCATGTATTTTTTATATTAGAAAAAAATATATATGGACAAAAAAACTACGTATTTCTTTCTTTAAGACGTATTTTTAATATGTACAAATAAATTTATTGCTACATTTTTTTTTTGATTTGTAGATGGCTGCTAGTTATTGGAAAAGTTCACAGTTTCAGCAATGGTTATTTGTTCGTCAAGAATTAATGTCTGTACGTTTACGTGATTTACAGCTGTGTTCAATAACCGAAGACGATTATTTAAAATTAATGATATTTTATTCAAATTTTATTCAAACAATTGGTGAACAAATGAAAGTTAGACAGCAAGTCATTGCAACAGCTATTGTCTATTTTAAACGATTTTATGCCAGATATTCATTAAAGTCCATTGATCCTATTCTATTGGCACCAACATGTCTGTTCTTAGCATCAAAAGTTGAAGAATTTAGTACATTATCAAATAACAGAATTATGGGAGGTGTTCAAACAGCATTTAAAAAATATTATCGTCTATTAGCCACACATCAACAACAAGGTAAGAATAATATTTATTAATGTTATCTTGTATATGAATTCAAACTTGACCGCCATTTTTTTTTAATTTTTTTTCATAGGTATTGGACAAAATCAATCTCAACAACAACAACTTGGTGATTATCCGTATCAATCTAAGCACATTTTAGAATGTGAATTTTATCTATTAGAAATAATGGATTGTTGTTTAATTGTTTATCATCCCTATCGTTCATTAGATATGTATTCAAAAGAATTACAATTAGATGATATTATTTTTCAAACAACATGGCGTATGATAAATGATACATTAAAAACGGATGTTTGTCTATTGTATCCACCATACATTATTACATTAGCTTGTCTATTTCTCTCATGTCATTATTGTAAGAAATTAGATTTATGTAAACAATATTTAGTTGATCAAGGTAATAATATTGATTTAGAACAATTATATGATGTTATTAAACATTTATTAAAACTATATGAACTTTTAAAATCGTATGATGAAACAGTTGATGGTAAACAATTAAAAGATTTACTTGACAAGATACCAAAACCAAAATTACCATCAACAAGTCGACCATCATCACAACCAAATGAACAACAATTACAAATGGTTATGCAACAAGGAGGACAATCTCAACAACAAGCAAATAGTAATCATACAAATTCAAATATCTAAAATCAATTCTTTTTTTCTATCGTTGTTTTTTTTTCCCGTTTTTGTTAAATAAATGTTACCCGATATCTTGCGGAGTTGAACAAGTCAAATCAAAAATGTCTCAAGTCCAAGTCAAGTCTGACTTGACTTGGACGAAACATTTTTGCGGTGTGACTTGATTGAACTTGCAAAAATTTTCGAGTTAAGTCATGTCTAGTAAGAGATTTTCGTTTAAATTAGACATTTTTTACCATAAAACAGAGTTTCTAAAACTATAAAAACTGTCTCTCATCCAAAAGGTACTAGCAAATTTTATGTTCTGCCTATTTTATAACCAGACTTAACTTGAATTGGAAGAAAACAAATTTCTCACCTCAACTTGACTTGAAAATCTTTTAGTGACTTGACTTTTGACTTGCAAAAACCTCTGATTTGTTCACAACTCTGATATGTTGTATCTATAGAAATAGTTAGATGCTATATCAGATGACTTTTTCTATATAGAATGTTCATTTAGTTTCATTTCGATATTGTATAAATCAGATGTTTAGTAATAATTTTGACGATACGATGTTGAAGAAGTAGAGGAAAAGAAAATGCTCTTATCAGTATTTTTCTCTCGTTTTTTTTATGTCGAGTGCGGATGAATGATAACAAAACTTACTTTTCGTTTGTGTAGAACACTAGTTGAACAATTAAACTGCATATTTTATAATAATGATGCATGTTTTTTCTTATAAATACATATTTTTTATTAATTTTTTTGTTTTAGTATAAAGTGAATTCTTAGTACAAGTGTCTTTTTACTAGGTTTTTTGTGTCTTTATATTTGTACTGTCTCTACTGTTTGTCATTTTCAAGTCATTTAGTCAGATAGTTTGATTGTAGTAGACAAAAACAAAAAATTGTATCATAATATTGTAAAATGAATAAATATGATGGATGAAATTACTACTACTTTTGATAGAAACTAATATTCTATCGGAGTCTATATCTAAGTCGATTATAGTGTTCTGCAGTTATTAACAAATAATTAATGAAGAAAAAAATATTTTAAAATGTAGAAGACATTACTCTTTTACTTGTTTGCAGTGTACATCTAGGTCACGTCACATAGCATGAATGTATTTGAAAGTTTGATTTTTTTTGCTTGTCACCATTTCATAACAATTTTAGAAATAAACTATCTAGCAGTTTGCTGTGTTTTGTCCTGTGGTTCTATTTATGTTGAATTTCAGATTTGTATGAATATCATTCATTTGTTTATTCTTTAACTTTTTTTTATTCGATGTAAAACCCGTTTTAAAATGTACCAGCATGTTAAATATTATTATTAAAAGTTAATATAGAAAAATGAGCATATCATGGTTACTGCCTCAAAAATAATGTCAGTCTTTGATTTTAATCATACTGATAATACGTCAACAACATCAGCATTGTCTACGTTAGTTTCTTCTCAATCGAATGATGAAGAGACACCACAAGAACCACAGAAAATATCGTTTACTTGTAATCTATCATGTGTACTGAACGATCCGAAAAAAACACGCTATGAATTAGGAAATTTTTTTACAAAAACATGGGGTAGGTAATTTTTTATCTTTTTAGTACTTCATGAATAATGTTGATAGTACTAATTTGTTTACAGTTCGTTAAAATCGAGTAGTATGCGAAATTCTAAATTATGCCACTTTTGACTGTTTGTGATATAATCGATGGACAGACATTCCAAAAGGAGGACGAGCGGCTTTATTATATCTCTTATTCCATCTATATGAAAATTTAAGTGCTACTGTCGACTCTGCAGTTATTACCTTCAATTTGGAGAAGGCTTTTGATAGAGTGCCCCACCAATTGTTATTGAGTCATCTTTCTACACTTGGAGTGAACGATAAGCCTTATGAGTGGCTTTCCAGTTATCTATCCAGTATCGGACTCAGTAAGTTCGTATAAGTAATTCTCTATTGATTCCTTCTTCCATTCTATCTGGCGTGTCACAAGGTTCTATTTTATGTTCATTATTATTCCTCATATTTATTAACCAACTACCGGATCAGATTTTTCCTCCTTCTATTGCCACTCTTTTTGCTGATACCTGCACTTTAGCGTTACCAGCAACTTTATTAAGTCCTCTAACTACTTGCTAAGCAAACATTGATCATATGGAAGAGTGATGTAGTTCTCATTTTCAGTTCCAAATGTGAATGGATGTTTGTTTCTAATACTCCTGAATATGAGGACACTTTTCAGTTTTACTTCCTATAAATATTCCTATAAAACGAGTTAAGAATATTACCCTCTTAGGTATTACTATTTCTTCTGACCAGCGTTTTCGATTAGGTGAGGAAAGGGGGGGAAAAAAATTTACTCCCTTCGTTTTAAAAACTTTACTCCTACTAAAATAAAAATTACTCCGAAAAGTTAAAAGCCTTTTTCGTTTTTGGTTATCAGCTAAATTTTTAGAGTTACGCCATAAAACTTCCTTCACCTCGCCAAAGTTATATCGCAAACGCTGCTTCTGACCTAAGATGGGAAGTTCATATTAATAAATTAGTTACGTCCCATAGACATCGTTTAGGTGTAATGAATAGAATTTTCTTCTCACTCGTTATACAGTACCGTCGCTAAATGTCTTTAAATCATGTCTAAGCACATTTTCACAGTTATAAATTCTATTTTTATTTATCTACTACGATTCTTTGTCCTCTGTCTTTCTGGCTATTTTTACCTTTCTTTTTACTTTCGCTTTTAAATACATTTTACTGTGTATTGCTCTTAATATTTTTGTTTCCTCATCTCTCTCTCACACCATTACTTCACATTCTTCTTTAGATATCGCTTCCTGATATCGGAAACAGTTTTTATAATCCTTCACCTTTTCTAAATAAATAAATAATCTTTTTATGACGTTTATTTACATATACGCCCAAAATTATCCGTATAGCATGTAGTTTCGAAGTAAATGAATCATAACTTTTTAAGGAAGCAATATTTCGGCATGGACTTTTCATCAAACTATTCCTCAGTGTGTCTAGTATGTACGTTTGCAACTTGCTTACAATTCCATATTTGCTTTTTCTCGCTCAAGAAGGCGAATGATAGCGTTCGATAGCTGGCTTCTTTAACAACGTTCTTGAAAAACAAATTTTTCAAAGCGTGTAGTCCCGGCCACGAAAATTCGACTCTAATCGTTGAGTATTCAACTTTTCGAAAAATGAAAATATCTCGATGATGGGAGGTCTAAAACCTTTTTGAAAACACCATCGGAAAGAGCACACTCATTTTAAAAATAAATTGACAATTGTTTGCATGTTTTTTTAAAATATTTCATGCTATGACGTGGCAGACAGGACCGTGGCGATAGGAAGGGTGTAAGGGAGTGTTGGCTCTCACTGCTTTTTGGTTTTCTCACTTTTTTCTGCTCATAGCCTTTCTCTCAAAACATTTTGGAGTATTAAAACAGTGTGTACCATTCTCCCGTAATCTTTGGCTTTCCCCCAAAAATTTATGCACTTACTAATTTTTTTCTCTCGTCACGGTCTTGATCTAAGGTTTAAAAGTAGAACGCATGATTATATCACGAAAAAATGAAGAAAAGTTTTTTCTCAAAGTTGTCAAAACTGTTTTCGTGTCATTAACAATTTTCTCGTACACTTCATAGTGAGCAACTATGTAGACGTCAGGTGAAAAAATGGAAGTGCGCTTTTTTGAAGTTTTGAATTGTGTCAAATATACCTTGATTAACGATCTATTTAATGGCATAAAAACTATCATTCTAGCTATCGTATTTAACTGAAAAAAGGCAACATGTGAAAACTAAGTCGAAAAACGTAGAGTGAACTGAAGAATAGTATCTTTTATGGATTGTGCGAAGTGTTCTTGAATAAATCATATATATTCTTAAACTAGATATCATGTTATATCGATTCGTAAAAAGGCTTTTTGTTTTGAGCCTTTGGCGTCAAAAAAAATAATTTCATCTGTACATTTTTCTAAGTGCGCATCATCGAGATATTTTCATTTTTCGAAAAGTTGAACACTCGGCGGTTAGAGTCGAATTTTTGTGGCCCGGACTACACGCTTTGAAAAATTTGTTTTTCAAGAATATTGTTAAGGAAGCCAACTATCGAACACTATCATCCGCAGTATATAGCGAAGAACATTCTAGCTAAGTTCAAGATGTTTTGAAGATGGGAGCAAGATGAGGGCGTTCATTATACTAAATGTAGCTGTGCGGAAAATAAGTTAGTTTGGGAAAAAATCTGTTTTCTTCGCAGCGTTAAGTCCTAATGGCGAAATTTCTTCACTGATTGATAGAATAAGGTGGCTAGATTCACAATCTATCTCGGTTTTATTTTTACTGACGTTCGGTTTATGAAACGAAATTTTTAGTCCTTGTTCCTGTGTATTCAGACTGCTTGACTAAGTGTTTTCCCACGCACGTTAAGACTTGAAACAAAAAATTTAACGCCGTTAAATAGCGCATAGACTGAAGTGTATTAATCGCTATTTGAATATGGAAAAACTGCATGTTCGATTTTTTGCCAAAAGGCCGCCTGGATGCTCACTGTGGCCAAGCAATAGTTTGATGAAAAGCCCATGCCGAAATATTGCGTCCTTAAAAAGTTATGCTTCATTTACTTCGAAACTACATCCTGCGCGGATAATTTTAGGCACATTTGTATCTGTGATATTTGATCCTTTACTATTTTAATAGAACCTGATTAGGCTTATGAGAAAATAGTTAAAGTCCATGTAGATGAGAATGAATCCTTCTTTATACTATCTTTTTGTACAAAATTGAACAATTTGTTATGTTTAAATACGTACTGTTGGTTAGTAATAAAAAGAATAAAATCTGCTTTCATATAATGCTATGTAATAAACGGTTACTAAAATAAATTCGTTCAGTAATTTTCAATAAAATTTGATTATCCATTCTTGAAATTTTAGTTCAGCTCTACTTTTCTATGTTTTTCAATGCTAATTTCAAAGCCTAAGTATTGTCGGAGCCAAAGTACAAGAGCAGTGGTTATTTTTTGAATAACTCAGCATCAAATAAATATAGAGACTTGCGGTTTTCCCCGTTCACTAGGCAAGACTTGAGGCTATCTTTCCACAAGTAAAAACGACTTTCGGAATAATTTTCGAAGCCGGTTTTCCGAAGGATCTTTGGAGAACTAGCTTGGATTTTCCGAAATTCAAATAGGAATGTGTTGATTCTTTTCGGGGCATATATAGTTCAAAGTGTCCTCTACAAAAATGGATCTAAGCGACATCTTGAAAACCCATGGTCCGAAAGCTATGAACATTTCTCCTGAAGCCTTAGCACTCCTCTACCGTTAGGTTTGGGACTGTCAGAAATTAATAAAAATATAGGTTATCGACTATGTTGAATGTCGTGGCAATGTTAGTATTCAGAACAAAATGCAATAACCGAGTGAAAACCTATTCTAGGTGAAATAACCCATTTTTGATTATTTTTATAAAAAATTAAAAAATTCATAACTCAATCAAAATCCATCCAATCTATGTCAGAATGTCAGTAAAATACTCTGTTTTATCTGCAGTATACCGTAAAGCTCAATAAATATTGAAAAAACCAACAAAAATACTTTGGTTTCGAGAAAGGTTTCCCACAAATCGAAACTGAAAGAATATTTTTTATTGATTCTACGTACTGAATCAGAATGAGCGGATAAATACAAATATGCTCCCCAATCATGGGTTTTCAAGATGTTGCTTAGATCCATTTTTGTAGAGGACACTTTGGATTATATATGCTCGTTAAGTAAAAGAAAAATTTAATGCGTGCACGTCAACTAAATACTGTTGAATGCGTGCAAATGCGTTAGTTTTCAAACTTATATGGGACTGGAAATTAATTCTAACGCACTCAAACGCGCTTTTACAAGAAAAATATGAAAACGACGTTCAAAAGCGTTAATTACAAAAACTTTATAATCCTAACGCGTTACGTAAGCGGCTTAACGCGTTCGAACTGCGTTAAATGTTTCATATTTGGTGATTCTAACGAGTTAGATTAGTAGTGCGTGATAAAGTCTCCATAATCGTAAATCGTTCTAAATCGTTAAAAATTGAACAAGTTAGCTTCTCTGATGCGTTTACACTCGTTAGAATAATACTTTGGATCAATGTAATTTTCCCGCGTTATAGTGCATGTACAGTGTGTTTACCCTTTTCAATCAGGTTTTTGTTCCGTTGATGGATCCCAAGACCCACATGGCTATGGTCTACTAGATACTGTTCATCAGCATCAGTATGGTAGACTAGTCTCTTACACATATATATATATACTGAAAGAAAAGCTTAAAAAATTTTCTAAGTGAATGTATCGTATATCTCGTAGGAAAAGATATACCATTTATATATGAGTTGGTCATGCAAAACAAAAGGGTGACTGTAAAATGACTGTTCTAACGCGCTGGAACGCTTACGCATTTAGTGAGTTATGGTTGAACGAGTTTTAGCGAGTTAAAATCTATTCTAACCCGTTTAAACAAGTTAAGATAAACTTTTATTCAGGAGTGTACATGTATTTATTTTTAAGCGCGTTTATACCGTATATCATCGAGTTTTTGGAAAACTTGAATGCGTGGAAACTCGTTAAATATCTCAGAACTATATTTAACCGGATCTGTCTCGTTATCGCTCTGAAGAAACGTTAGCATGCATCATATTTGAAAATTTAACCCGTTCAAACGCAGTTTTCTCGAAAACTTTTTTTTAACGCATGCTCACCTGTGTTAGGGTGTCAAAATTATTCCATGGGTAGTACCGGGTGGCGCATAATGAATGGCATACTTAGTATTTTGCTTATAACTTTTTTCCTTTTCAGTCCGTAGACCTGATTGTTTTCGCAAAAGATGCGCCGTTAAATTCTTTACAAAATGATATATAAATGTTGTGATATTTATTCCAGATACAGTCCAACAAAAATATATATTTTTCTCGTGTTTCTTTAGGACCTTAGGGTTAGTGTTTTTTTTATAAGATGCGCCGCTACATACTATTCAAAATCATGCTTAAACTTTAATTTCAGTACTTCACTTAAGAAAACTTACGAAGAATTACACGAAAGACGAAGAAAATAAAAGCTTTCTAATTTGGTATTTTTTCGATTTGAACTTTTTTCTTCTGCTATTATTTCCTTAAAAACGTGTAGCAAGAGTGAGAACGCAGTTCCTTCGGTAGTTTTGAATGTGCTCTTTCTCGTAGTCTGGAAACAAATTTTTTAGAGCAAATGGTATGCTGGAGAACGAAGTTATTAAAATACGTCAGAAATTGACAGTCCCGCGTTTCCAACAATGTGCCCAAGCAAGCAACGGAAAACATGATCGTAGTTTTGATTTTGCAGTTAGGTGAAGAAGAGCAATAATTTCTGATCAAAACAAAACAAATCCGATAGAAAAAGCTTTTGGTTTGATAGAGTTATGAGACTTTTGCTGCAAGCACCACTATGCCCAGAAATTAAAAATCAATGAAAAAATGCACAACCGACGAAAAAATTATTATTTTTCCATGGGTTTTTGATATGAGAAAATATGAAGCGTAGCTAAAAGATAGAGCGAAGTCATGGCTACAAAACGGCTAATTCAGTTTTCCTTACTTGCAAATTAACACAAGCAATCGTTTTTGACTTTAGAAAGCTTTTATTTTCTTCATCTTTCGTATAATTCTTCGTAAGTTTTCTTGAGTGAAGTTCTGAAATTAAAGTTTAAGCATGGTTTTGAAGAGTATGTAGCGGCGCATCTTTAAAAACAACACTAACCTTAGGGTCCTAAAGAAACACGAGAAAAATATATATTTTTGTTGGACCTTCATCATTTTCAGGTTTAGAAAGTACGGGTTTTTGAAGATTGCTTTTCATTTTAAATGTATCTGGAATAAATATCACAACATTTATATATCATTTTGTAAAGAATTTAACGGCGCATCTTTTGCGAAAACAATCAGGTCTACGGACTGAAAAGGAAAAAAGTTATAAGTAAAATACTAAGTATGCCATTCATTATACGCCACCCGGTGGTATTTTTACATGATTAAATCAGCTTGAAACATACTCTCAAAGTTTCGTGTTTTACGATTTCATCTTTTGTATTAATTTCTATTTTAGGTAATACATTTGTTGAGAAATCACCGGAGCCCTTGTCTGGTATACATAATTATACATTGAATGATTTTGAAACGTATTTAACAAGTTTAAAAAGAAGTGATGCACCGTCTCCAACACCTACTACTCCTGTGGATCTATCCAATATTCCTACTATATTTTTATCATCCAATTTTTCCTTAAGTAATACGCAAACATTTAATCTTGTTTTTCCTGGTATTGGCCATTTTCAACGTTTATTATTATCACCTGAACAACAACAAAAGTCTCGTACAACATGTACAAATGGTAACATATCCGAAACATCTACAAAAAAATTACCAACAAATCAATCTTTATCCGTTACATCTAATGGAACAGAAACAACATTAGAGTAAGAATCTTCACAAATTATTATCAAAAAAACATCTTTATTCTTTACTTTTATTTAGTCAACGTCATCAAAAACATTCGATATCATCAACGACTCGTCTATTACAAGATAAATATACTCATTACCTAGATAAAATTGAAGTTCAAATATGTCGGGAATTGTCATTAAAATCAAATGGTTTTTTGGATGCTGTTAAGTCACATGATGAAATTCATAAATTTTTAAAACAAACACGTCAAGCCATTTCTTCTTTACGACAAGAGCTAACATCGTATGATGAAACATCTCTATTAACATTATTAAAACTTTATCGTTATATTCGTCAACGTCAGAATCAATATTTACTCTTAAAAAAATTACGCTCTTTAACAATTGTAAATCAAACACAAATTACTGTACGATTGTTATTAACGACAAGTGATTATGTGAGTGCACTTGATTTAATTATGGCAACGAGAGAAATCATACAAACGGAATTAAACAATGTACATTGTCTAAGATATTATGATCAACAATTGAATGAATTAAATATTTTGATTGTCAATCTTATGAGACAAGAATTTACACAACATTTAGAAAATGAATTAAAAAAAGGTTAGTTATTAATATCACAATTATTACATTTAATTTAAAAAGGTTTTTTATTTTTTACAGATAATACGGAAATAATTGACGAAGATAAATTTGGCGCTATAATAGTTGGTCTAATTCGTGTGAACGATAATAAATATTTAGATGAAATCAATTCAAAATTTGAAATGTGTATTCAACAAACTATAGATAAAGCAACAAAAGAGAAATTGGATGAAATGAAACTGAAACAAAATAAAAACAGGTATTCAACAATAAATGTTTACAGATAAGTACACGTGGAATTATTTTTAATAATTACTCGAGATTTGTGATAGATAGATTCTAATATTAGTCTGTACTAGAGTAAACGTTATATGACGGGGAAAAATTAATTTTATGATACATCATTTCAGTAATTATTGAATTTTTATAGCCAATGTAAAATATTGTTTATTATTTAATTTTCAGTGACATATCCGATCAAACACTTTCGATTACGACTGATTTTCGTTATACTTATCCATCACACAATAATTCCTATCATTTTTCTCAATGGAAATCGATTATTGATCATGTTTTACATGAAAGTCAATTGATATTAGAACGTATCAATTTGTTAACAAATTTAATCTTAGATGTATTTCAAAAATGTTTACAATCAAAATCACCAGATGATTATCAACAATTAAAATCAAAATACATTCATCAATTACATATACTTTATGATTCAATACAAGATCGTCTTATTAAATTATTTAATGATTTAACAATCGGACGACATTCAAAATTTCCGGCTTTATTATTTGAACAATTATCTATCTCAGATTTTTCAACAATTATTCATTTAATTCAAACATATACATTAACATTTGAACAATCAACAATAGTATCTTATCGTTCTCGACCATTTCGAACATGGTTACAAGCACAAACACTTAAATTTATTCAACATTTTCATGATGAAAGAAAACAACAAATTAATTTTATATTAGGTACGTTGAACGTATACACACACAAACATATATCCTCATGGCAAAAAAAATAGTTGCACACAGTATTTTTAAGATATTTTCCTTACGAAAATATACTTTTACAAAAATGATCACATATTCTGATAGCGCTTAGAATTCTCTACAATTCTGTATGTTTATATCTGGTCTTGCATTTATTTGCTGAAAAATACATTGAGTGCAATGACGGCCACCTCATCGTCAGATTCCCAGAAATTGTAATGAGTGTGGCATCTCAATATTTTCTATTTTTCTCGTGTTTCTTTAGGACCCAAAGGTTAATGTTTTTTTAAAACGATGCGCCGCGAAATGCTCTACAAAACCATACCTAACCTTTAATTTTAGAGCTTCAATCACGAAAACTACGCAGATTATACGAAAGACGAAAAAAATGAAAACTTTGAAAATCTGTTATTTATTTCCACCTGAACCTTTTTCTTTTGCTACTATTTCCGTAAAAAAAGGGTTGCAAAAGTGAGAAGTCAGTTCTTTTTGTACTTCTGAATGTGCTCTTTCTCGCGGTCTGTAAAAAAATCTTTTAGAACAGATGGTGTGAAAAAAACTAAAAAAGTAGCGAAAACATGTACCTTTGTGGTACTTGTCAATTGGAGATACCTTCGCTGTACTCAAATTATTTTTCTGCAAATAAATGTAAGACAAGACATAAATATATAGGATGATAGAGAATTTTAGGCGCTATCAAAATATATAATTACTTTTATAAAAAGCAATTTCTATAGTGATGATAAATTTAAAAAGCAAGTTGAAGAAATAGTAACAAAATGCAGTCCGTGGGAATCTGACAATGTGGGAGCCGTCATTGCACTCAATTTGTTTTTCAGCAAATAAATGCAAGATAAAATATAAACATACAGAATCGTAAAGAATTCCAGACGCTATCAAAATATGGGATCACTTTTGTAAAAGTATGTTTTCGTAAGGAAAATATCTTAAAAATACTGTGTGCAACTCTTTTTTTCCACAAGGATATATATATATTCGTCTTATTTAATGTTTTCATTTTAGATAGTGAACAATGGAGACAAGTTCAAGTTCCACGTCCATTACAGACATTAGTCGATCATATTCAATTGAATGGATTTATAAATATTGATCAATTGTCTATGACCATTACTACTAATTCCACTACTACAAATTCTAATATATCAAATGATTGTGCTCATATTCAAAATGAAACATTTATATTACCCAATTGTTGTTTAAAATTATTTACAATAATCATTGACTATTGTCAATGTAGTACATTTTTATATATTCATACACCAAAATATTGCATCAGTGATATACAACATCGTCTTATTGAAATTTTGAATATATTTAATTCAAAAACATGTCAACTTATATTGGGTGCCGGTGCTGTTAAAATTGGAACAATAAAATCAATATCGGCAAAAATACTCGCTCTAACAAGTAGATGTTTACAATTCATACTATATTTTTTATTAAAAATTAAAGAACATTTTGATATATTACAACAAGTAAGATAATAATCAATTAAAATTGTCGACAAAGTTTTACAATTTTTTCATTTAGTACTATTATGTGAGAATGAGAGATGTTAGACTATTTAAAGATTTTTGACTTTATATTTTACATATTAGTCTTCTTATCCCTTACATTGAGTTAAACCCTAAGTCATCAGAAGAGTTGTAGTGATTATATTACAACACGATAGATGTCAAAATCAGACATCACATATTTTTCATCTCAAACATTTTAGTTTAATTAAGACACATTTACATTGTTTTAGTTCTCTACTAATAATGAATTGACAATAGCTTCTACTGCTACACCAACAATTTCATTTTTATCATCAAATAAACAATTTGAACAATTAATAAAACTTTACAATGAACATATCGATGAAATTCATCAAAAACTTCTGACAATCATTGAGCAAACATTTGTTGCAGCATTATCAAAGTACGAAGTACGTGCACCCGTACCATCCGAATATTTTCGTACACTATCTACTGAAATATCCAGATTTTATAACGCTATTAGTACAATTGTATCACATACTGATCTTCAATATTTGTTTACACATTTAAATCAAATATTTAAACGATTATTAGCAAAACGTTTAAAACAATTAAAAATTATCAATGATGGTGGACCACAATATGATCTATTGACACGTGATCTACGCTATTATAGTAAACAAGTTCAAAAGTTACATGGTCTAGAAACGTTAGAATTACATATTGATGAAATATGGGTTAATAACAAGACAGGATTAAATGAAACAGAAAAGTGAAAAAGAATCAAAATTTCTACAAATGTCTTTCATAGAACAATTTGAAAACATAACACTTTCAATGAAATAAAGTTTAAGTTATCAACAGATTAATTTCATCACAATAAGTATCGTGAACAGTGGATGAATAATGTTTAATTTAGACAGATATTCACGTTTATTTTCACAACTAATCTTAGTTAAATCAAGCAATATTAACTTCTTACCGTAACGATCTATACAATATCAGGGTTATCTTTATTTGTTGTATGAATAATTTTTCATCCAATAGTGCTCACATCCTCTCTTTCAATTATGTGAATATGCCGGTTAATTGTTTTTTGTTCATCGGATGTGCTTGTATATTTTTTTTATATTTAGATGATATCTATTTTTATGTACTCTTAAAAAAAAATTGTTGAACAATCTTTATTTCTTCATGTACACATCATTTTGTGTTGCATTTTATATTGGCATACTAGTGAAAAAATGAATTAGCTCATTAACAAAACACCGTCTTTCTCTTCTGTTAGATATAATTGTTAACCTTTTGAAAGCATTTTGTTGTTTTTTTTTGCTAAAATTGATTTATGTATCATATGTTTTGATTAAAAGAGTGTGTGCGGTGAAACATTTCAACAATGCTTTTTATAATGAAAAAAACAAATGGCAATGCGAAATCTGGCTGATAGAATGATTAAGCATTTTCTTAGTTATCATTCATTTTTATTACTTGAGTTCCCATTAAAAGTGTAGTAATAAGTTGTTACTATTTATTCATAAGTCAATCAAAAACTTGATCAAAACATCATAATAGGTGGCAACTAACAATCGTTCATACAAGCATTCATTTTATTTTTAACAGTATTACGGAAAAACAACCAATAATAAAACTAATTTGATTTTGTTTTTGGAAAAAATATTGATTTTTAATTCTACGTAGAGGTGGTAAGGAAGACAGATTGACGTTGTATCAAAGAGATAATGCTGAATGAAAGGTTAATCATTCTAATTTTGACAAAATATTTTTTGTTGGTTGTGCTGCTAATAATTTGTTGGTACTATACACAGATACCCCAAGACCAAATAAAGACATTAGTAAGGCCGCACTAAATGCCACACGATCCTTACTTAGATCATATCTCTAAACGAAACGTATATAGAGTAAATATTAAGATCAAAAACGGGGAAATCTATATTTTACTTCTTACCGTAACATATTTTGTGGCAGTTCTAGCAGTAGTCACACCGAACATGATCTTATCTAGAACACAAACGCTTTTATCGTAGTTCTCGACTTCAACTAAGATAAGGATCTTATTTTATTATGGTATACTGGGATTCGTTGCGTGGTCAAAGAACATAAAACGATGAAACATTTACATAGTATATGCAGAGTTCCCGATCAGAGGGAAGGGCAGGAGGGAGGGGGGGTGTTACCGTCATAGGACCTTCAGACTATAAAATACAGACATTCAAATCGTTGTTCAGTGAGAGTTATTTCTATCTAATGTTCCGGATGAACTGGATAACCCGAAAACTTTAAAGTAAGTAAAATAACATAAAAAAACAAATTAACTAATGAAAGAAAAAAAAGCTAATCTAGTCACAAGCAAGAATTTCTTTGATCCTTAAAGTTCTTTTACATTGTTACTAATAAAAAAATTAGCGAAAAACAGCCAAGCAAGGTATTCAGAGAAATAATCAAAATGGATGGAAAATAAGCAAAACAAAAGGAATTTGCGTCTCAAAAAAAAATATTTTTAATGATTGGTTCTGAGCATACAGACAGTTTACGATCAGGAGGGGATGATAGATAGAGGTCACTTATAACTTACTCGTTTATTCTTTCTTGCTTATAAGGTTTGAAATAAATTCATTAACAAAAAAGAAGACAATATTAAACATTAAAAATAATTTTATAATGCAATTTACTCCTAGCGAACAGCCATACATAATCACTAAGAGCAATTAGAGAAAATTTTGAGGTAAAGTAAGAGAACTGAGAAATTGATGAATGAGAGATTAAAAAATATTTTTAGAAGAAATTAAAGGATAAAAGGGCTGTTTCAGTATTTTAATCGATCAGTAATGCTGTAACTTGTTAAACATTTTTTTCAAGTTTGTATTTGACATAAATTTTCAAATAGGTATTTTATGGATACTGATGGTTTAAATGGATAGTTGTGGTTTCACTTTTTTACCTAAGATTAGTCCGTTTTTACAATACAGGTGTGCTTGATTCACAGTATCCATCTTAGGCTCCACACAGGAATAATAAATCATGGAAAGCAATAGCATTCATTTAAACCTTTTGCTTATAATAGGTAGTTATTGAACACCAGTCGAAATTTATAAAAGAGTGAGAAAAAAAAATCCTCGTGGTTGACAGTATCCGTCTCATGCAAGCAACATACCTGTATGTACTGTACGTATCAAGAAATTGGTCTTGGGTACTTCTGTGCAACATGAGACTAAAGCTTACGTGTCAAAAGCACTTTATCTCAAAAAATCTTATAGTGCTATTCTAGGCTCTAAGAAATCCTCATAGAGTTTTATAGAAAACATTTGTAGTTTGGTTTCCGAATTTCGATGTGAAGCATACACTGGGTACTGTATATGAGAACCAGAGGCCTGAATAGGGAGTGAGCTTTGGAGAGGTGTAAAACGTTTTCTATGGCTCGTGCAGCGTAAACTTTTTTTGGGAGCGTGCAAGAAAAAAAGTTTTTTAATTGCGCGTGGGAAAAAACCAAAAACTTTTATTTCCGGGGGGGATGTGCACCTTCCCATGCCCCCCAAAAGTCAGGCCTCTGATGAAAATGTCAAGAAGATCTTCAGAAAATGTTGAGCGCTCCTAACGAATTTTTTGTTATAGTCTGTTTATGAAACGAGGTATGATGTTGGACGGTGTCTGAAGTTCTGTGGAGGACTGTTACACGTGTCATAATACACTCTTGCTATCAACTTGGACGAGTGACTTTTTGTGCAATGCCCCAGTTTCAATGCGCAATTCTGGCTTGACGATTTTTTCTTCATTTCTTTATTTAAATGGAAGTATTTTTATACAAATGAATTTTCTGCAATCTATTTTTTTAGATAGTAATTTTTCTCAAAACAAATGATGGTAGGTATGTTCGTTATAATAATGGGTTTCTTCTATTGCTTAAAGCTTGATTTATTTCATTCAGATGCATCTTCATCACGATTCGAAGAAGCATTAAACCAATATGAAGAATGTGAACGTAATCTGAAAGCATTCTTAAAACCATATGAAGATGAGAATGAACAATTAGAAATTGAATTAGAGCAATTAAGTGGTAAACGTCAGAAATTACTGAGAGAAAAACAAACAATTCAGAATAACGTAGAAAATGTAAAATCAAATTTGAACAAGTTAGAGTCGAAATTGAAACAATATGACGAACAACTTAGATTGCCCAAAATACGGTATGAACAGAAAATAATACTAATGACAACGTGCATATTGAATTATTTTGTATAGAGCAAATCTTTTCTTTTCTTAGGTGTGATCAGTTGCATTCAGCATTATCTTTTCTCCTTTCTTGTGCAAATGATTCATCATCCAAAGAGAAACAACCAGATCTACAACATTATCCCGAATTAGGTTTAAAAATTATTAAATGTAAGGAGACTGAAACATCAGATCAAAATCAAAAACCTCTGACAAATGAGAATAGTAGTAATAAACGGTCAAGAAGTACATCAGTGATACGTAATAATGATCACACTGATGATCAACAAAAATCCACAGAACAATCAGTAAAACAACGGAAATATAACGATGTTTATCACAGATCATCAGATAAACATCATCGAGGAGAATCATATCATTCAAGCCAAAGAACAAACGATCATTATCAGCAACAACCTCATCGTCCACGAGCACGTTCATCGGTAGCAACAGCACATCGTTTTAGAAAATAATCTAAATATGTCAGATAGTTGTACATATTCTTTTACAAAAATAAAATCAAATCTCAAGATTATGGGTTTTCGTTTTACTTCATTTATTTTGAAATACTACGGAGACAGTAAGAAACATTATTTGGCGAATGGCAATGATTTTTGACAAAAACTAAATTATAATTGCAAACGATTTTTGTTTATGATGATATTTCGGTTTTTAACCGCTCATTTCAAACAGTAAAAGAGCGTAAAACCTATACAATGTATACATTTCTATTTATCTCTATTAACTGAATGAAAGAGTAATTTAAAGTATGCCATCGTATTAAAAAAAAACGAGACACTATCGTAAATATTATGAGCTTTAAACTGTTTAACTAGACAATGGTATCAAATTATTAATCAGCGTATAACTTTTGTGAAGGATCTTTTAAGTTTAATTGAAAAGATGAGGAGAGATACTGAGCAATTTGTTCGATTCAATTTTCGTTTAGTAACACGAATTAATAATGACTTTATAACCAATAGACGGTGTTTGTTTAATTTGTAGCTTTATTGCAATCATTTTTTGAAAATGAGCAAAAAAAGGGGACCGTTAGCTGGACAAGCCGTTAAGTGATTGACTGGTCTTTTATATTACTTAGTGAACTTCTTTCTCTTAGACGTTGCTTCGTTGATCAGTACTAATCGTCCATCTTTTACTAACAGAAAACATTTTTCCATTTTTCTTTTTCGCTTTTTTCAATTCAAATAGAGCGCCTCGAGATGTATATGTGAAGCGATTGTCATCGTTCCCGGACAAAGCTTGGCGGAGAAATCCAGATCTGATTTTGAGAATGGGTTTTTGTGGGCAAAAGTGTGCGTTTTCGAGATCTTGCTTGCAGTTTCTCTGCGGGAAGCATTTTTAAGCGGAAATATGAGTGTAGAAGTTGTTCATCATGTTTTTTTTCTATGGGATAATACTTTGCTGTCGCTAAATTTCTGAATGTGAATCCTTAAAATTGAAAATACTGAGACGCTATACTGCGGAGAAAAGGCGCTCAAGTTTTTACGCTACTTTCTTTTTTCTTCTGGGCAAGAAGAAAATCTGCAACCCATAGCACATAGACATTTTCACATACGGAACCAAATGGAAGTGTCAAAAATCGAAAAAAAAATAAAGATTTTCAAGATCGATTTTTCAGAGTTCCGGAGAGCAAAACCGTCTAGGACCTTGGATAGCGTTTCGCTTCAGGAAAACATTGTGCAACAAAAGTGTGGGAACAAAAAGTGTTCAGCATCAGATTCTGCGTGAAACAACCGAAGGAATTTCTGAAATTCGTAAAACCAAATTTTACGAAAATTTAAGAATTTTTTAAGTTCCGCCTAGATTTTGCCTACGAAAATTTAAATTTTGAAAACTAGTATTTTGGGCTTTAAAAATGAAGTTTAAGGAATTTCGAAAATTCCTTCGGTTGTTTCATGTAGAATTTGATACTGAACAATTTTTGTTTCTACAATTTTGATCCATAATGGTTTCCTAAAGCGAAACGCTGTTCAAGGCTTTCTTAAACACACTTTTTGCACTAGAAATGGTATGAGCAAGTCAAAGTCAAGTTTCTCCATCAGTCTTCACCCGGTAACGACAAAAAATTGTTTTCTATATAGATCTCAATATGCTCTCCCCAATAACGAAGGTTCGAGATTCTACCTCAAAAAATGAACTATTTATAGAAATTTTAAAAATCGGGCAAAAACCCTAGGGGGAGCTTAAAAAAAGTTTCTGAAAAACTACGGATCCTAAAAGCAAAAAAGTCTTGAAGTATATGCTTATAATTAAAAAATATAAATTTCAACAACAAGAGACAATCGAACACTATTTTCTTCAATGCCCGAACTATGTTCTAGCCAAAACTTATCTCATTAAACAACTTATCTCATCGTGACTCAAACATAGGCATTGACTTGGACACATTACTACTCAGAATACAATTTGAACCAAACTTGTACAAAGATCTTTACTACATCATTATAAAGTATATACAAAAAACAGAGCGTTTCGAAGTGGTAAATAGCAGTGATCAACATTCCCTCTTTCCCCTTCCTCGCTTTATATATTCACTGTACCCGCAGCCTTTTTTCTCTTCTTTCACTTTATTCACCTTTATTTTATTTTTTTGTTGTTTTTCTTATGGAAAAGAGTAACCCCTTGTAAAATAATTCCTTGAACTATGCAATAGCAATTTGCCGCTTGATGGAAGATTTGACTTTCAGATTTAGTGATTACTATAGCGACATCTTTTTGCCTATAGCAGGACTTCAGCTGTGTCAAGGCATGCATTCAAAATCTAATTGGTACCTCAGATTGTCGAATAAAACAGTTTAATTTTTATAGTCTACCTGTCGCGATATGCGTTTTTGATGACTTCCTTAAGCCGAAGAATTTGAAAATCCGTCGAATTAGATGGAAGAAAAATTAGCTGAATTTCGTAAAAACAATCATCCATCATCGTTCAACTCTGCACCTAGTGTTGCATCATGTCTTTTGTCAAAATTTCATCAAGCTATTTTTCCGTCTCAATCTCATCTTAGAAGATCAACACCAACTATAAATGTTGATCTACAACAGGAAGAACCATTGGAGAGTCATGACTCAAATTCATCCATTGTTGTTATGTTATTAAAAATTGTTTTATGGTTAACATTGTTTATTATTTTTATCCGTTTAGAATTTGGTGCTGTTTATTTTATTATATCGTTTCTTTACATTATCTGGATGAATTTAGGTAGACGTGATCGATCAAAATTAAGTGCTTATTCTGTATTTAATCCAAATTTCGAGAAAATAGGAGGAACATTCTCAGGTGAAGACTATGATAAACAGTTAAGACACGGTGGTGGAACAATTTTAAGACCAACCTAAGTAATCTTTTTATAAAAATATCAAGACATTAACCAGTGACAATGTAAGAGAAAGGCACTTTTCATTGGTAAATAGTAATTTTTTTTTGTTATAATATGATTTATTATCGTTTACAAAATTTAGATAAACAAACTACCGTACTGTTGTCTATTGCTGTATGTTCTTGTATCATTATTGTAATATTGAAAGAAGTTTTCTATGATGGAGTTTAAAACAATAACATAATAATACAATGCATTGTAAGATCTTTTTATTTATCCAATATATCATTATGTTATGATATTAAATCTTATTTTAAACTTGGTATATATAATGTAATATAATAAAACTACGTTTTCTCATATAATACTAGATTTTGAAAACATATATAACCATTTACTGTAGATAAAAATATGATCACTATGATTTTCATACTTTTACAATTTGTTTGCAAGTTTAACACTTATTCTATTACAAAAGGATATAATGAGTGACTTGACTACTGTCCTCAATTACTTATCGAGTATTAGTATCACTGTAAAAATTGAATATGTTTCAGTAGAATGTGATTATTAGGTATTTTTTCATTTCAGATGAATCGGTGCTATTTATCAGTTCGTTTATTAAATGTTTATTCACATTATTATCATCATCACCATTCTCGTTCGCTAACAACATCATCTCGTCTATATTTTATAAGAACATTATTTGATCATACTAAAGAGATAGTAAAAACTGGTAAAAAATATAAAGAAAAAAAAGTTGATTTAGTAAAATTATCTGAACAACAATATGAACAATTGACACCAATATTAAAATTACAAACAGCATTTCGTTCAGTAAATTTTATTCTCGGTTTAATGGGTATTTTTGGTATTATATCATATTTTTATATTCGACAAAAAAAAGCAAAAGTTGAAAAAGAAATTGAAACAGAATTTAAACCAATTTGGTTAAATTTAAAAAATTTTAAAGAAAAAGCTGCATATATTTATGATTATTTATTTCCCGAACAAATTATATCAAAATTTAAAGAATTAACACGTTTTCAATTTGATAAAAATGATATTATATGTTCAGCATTTCCAAAATCAGGTATATAAACGAGATATAGGATAGTTTTGAATGATAATATTAAATTTTTGTTATTTTATTAGGTATAACGTTAATTCAAGAAATTGTTTATTTGATTCAATCCGATTTTAATTATGAACAAGCAAAACAAAAAGATATTTCAGATCGATTTTCATTTCTGGAATGGCCATCGGTTTCATTGAAAGAATTGAATAATGAACGAGAAAAATATCCGGAAAAAATACGCCTAATGAAAACACATTTACCACCGATTGTCTTTAATGATACGTTTAAAAAAGCTAAGGTTTATTTCGTCAATGATGTTATTTTTTTTCACATTTTTATTTATTATTGTTATTTATTTAGATAATTTATATCTATCGTAATCCAAAAGATGTATGTGTATCACTGTACCATTTTTTGAAATCCATTAATGTCGATATTGGTTATACGGGAAAATTTTATGAATTTCATGAATCATTTCTAATCGATGAACGTAGGTAAACATAATTTTAATTTAAATTTCACTAGAGATCAATATATATGAGTTTACAATATCGGTAGTTTTTTGTCAATTCTTTTTAGTATTCTATTACAATGGATGTGTTATGCTTAAGTATTAAAAGTTATAGAATAGAATCTTTAAAAAGCTAGAACTTTACGAAACTGAGTCCCTGAGTTTACTCGGAAACGTTTTACACACAATTCGGTCGAACAGAATAAACTTTAGATGCATAAAATGAGACGTCTTGAGCTTTTAACAACATTCTTATGTTAAATTGCATCTATTTTACGAAAGGTTCCATAGGCTTTTTTTCATTTTCCTGGTTTTGACTGTCTGAGCTATTGTAATCGAGCAAAAGCAAAGTGTTTCTATAATTTTGCTCAGAATTGTAAATAAATCTATGCAGAAGAATGTCTCTTAACGTGATAAAAAAAGACGTATGACGTTAACCGAGAATATAAGAAAATGGCTCTTGGCATTCTCTTCGATCCTGTCCTTTATGTATAAAGAATTGTATGCGCAGTTTATTTATATTTTGTACTTTTCTTTAGTTTATTATGCGCCATGGTGGCGTCATGTCAACGATTATTATTCTCTAAAAGAGTCAATATTTATTGTATCATATGAAGAACTACTAAAAGTAATGCTATTTCAATAGTTTAATTTGTTATTATTTATGATGTTTTTTATTTAGAATTTTCAGCCAACTATTCGTCGTCTCGCCGCTTATTTAGGTAAATCAATTACTACCGAACAATTAGATAAATTAGAACAATGGTGTTCATTTGAATCAATGAAAACTAATTCAAAAGTCAACTATGATTGGTTTAAAGATTATGGATTTGTTAAAAAAGATTTTTCATTCATGAGAAAAGGTATATTAAGACTGTTTTACGTAGATCTAATCGAATCTTTACAATTATTTCTTGTTTGTGTACTTAGGTCAAATTGGTGATTGGTTAAACTATTTTGATATTAATACATCAAAAAAATTTGATGAAATGGTTAGGAAAAAAGTGAACAATGAAATACAATTTGATTATGGTATAACATCAGCAGAACAAGATAAAATGTATGACATATACAATAAAAAAGTACAACAAAGAGAACAAGTTGTGACGTAATCGAGAAATTTCATACCGAGATGTTGTTTTCAAACTAGGCAATTTTTTTTTATTTGACACATTATTTTTCTTGATATCCAATTAGATTTATATGCAAAATATAGATTTGTGTAATTTATTTACTTTTAACTTGACCTACAGGCTTTGATGTACATCTACATCTAGGAATGTATGTTTTTCCTAACAAACACGATGTACTACTTGTAAAAGATAAAGATAATGAAGTATCATGACAGTTTTATTAAATTTTCTAGTAGAATTTCTTATGTTTTAATTTCTCCTCTTATTTTAGAAGAAAAATTAACGTATAGAAAATATGTTGGTCACTAAATATTCCAAATGATTTAAGATCATTATTCATGCATATATTTGATCAACCAACAAGAAAATTTTACATTGCCCAAATAAGACAAAAAAAATAGTAGCGAAGTATGTCTTTTTCACTTTAAGAATCAATCGAGCATGGATCGCTCCTTCTCTCTTCTAGTGTTTAATATACAATACATTTTGCATCAAGTCAAATGAAGTGATATATTATTTTCGGAAAGTATTTATTTATTTATTTTATATTCAGTTGACATTTTCAATAGTGCGCTACTCTTCATTGCGCTCTAGTATTAAATAACATTGTCCAGTGTGCTATCAATGACGGATCCAGAAAATTTTCATGAGGGATGTGGTAAGGAGTAAAAATAGAAAAAGTGCTGAACTATTGATATTGATGAAATAAACCAAAAGAGGTAATATGAATTGCGTTTTTTTTAGTATATGTGGTCTATCTACGCCGACTGCATCTCTCCTAGATCATACTGTGGATGACCAAGAAGCAAATATAAAACAGAAAAAATCAAGTTAAAATAACACACAAACTCAGGCTATTCCGCCCTTTTTCGGAATACAGATTCTTTCCATTTGTTACCTGTAGACTGTGCTGTTCTCAAATGTGTCAGTCTATGTGTAAACGAGTCATTATGCTATTACTGTCACAAACAAAACATGATTTTCGAAAATGTTTCATGCGGATATCTTTATGCATATACAACTTTAATTTTAGCTTCTGTTTTGTTTAAAATGGTTATTATATATATATATAAGTATTTCATGAGAAAATACACCATTTGTAACAATACTTTTCTGATACTATTTTCTCGATATTGACTAGTGTTCTTTAGTCTAGTGTCTTGAATTATTTCCTCTGAAGTTATAATTTTCTAGTTGATGCAATGTGTTATCACGAATAAGTTTGATGTACCCAGCATTTCTTTTAGATCGTCAATCTCATCTATCTCATTTCATATCATAGCGATGAGATATTGTGTTCGAACCGTAAATAGTAGTTAACAATAATTGATTACGATCATAATTTTCATTCTTAGAAAAAACGCATCGTTTTGGTTCTTAAAACTACATAATTTCGATGGAGCATGAAACATATTTGTGATACAAATTCAAGTAAGAAGTATAAAACTCCAATGAAATGCATTTTTTAGTGAAGTTAACTACTACACTGATTTACCGAGCTTTCGACCAGTTTATTATTAGGTGATTTTGAAGGGGGATGCCAAAAAGAAAAATAGTGGTCAGTATAAGAAGAAAAGAAGAAATAGAACGACTGTACACGTATTTTCTTTTTGTCGTTCGCCTTGAAAATGACCGAAGAATAAACAGGTCGAAAGCTCGGTAAATCAGTGTAGTAGTTAACTTCACTAAAAAACGCATTTCATTGGAGTTTTATACTTTTTACTTGAATTTCTATTTCCCACTCCACAATCTACTCAATTTTATATTTGTGATACATTTTACATTATTTCAAATGTTGCAATATGGATATTTCCAGTATATAGCAAATTTTATCAGACTGTTACTGATTGGTAAAGTAAACTAGTAAAAATTACAAATTGCTTCGTTTTTTCATGAAATTACCTATTATTTCAAATACATTTCTTATCGAAAAAGAAATGAGAGAAGAAATTTTTTATATAAATTCTCTAAAAACCGTATTAAAAATGAATATAAGATAACGTTTTTTTGTAAACAGAACTGCTTCACACTTTTGAATGATCGGTTTACATAGATCATAATTTGACTTCCAAACAGAAACACGTTTTGGATGATCGAGTAGATTGGGGAGTGGGAAATAGAAATTCAAGTAAAAAGTATAAAACTCCAATGAAATGCGTTTTTTAGTGAAGTT